CACACACACACACACACACACACACACACACACACATACACACACACACCCCTGAACATACCTCTATGAGTACAGCAGTTCCTCCTTATCCGAGGTTTCATTTTCCTAGGTTCTAATCTATGTTCGACCATTTCAAAAATATATAGAAGCCAGGCATAGTGGTGCACTCCTGTGATCCCAGGACTCAGGAGTCTGAGGCAGGAGGATCGTGATTTCAAAGCCAGCCTCACCAAACTTAGCAAGGACCTAGGTAATTCAATGAGACCCTGTCTCTAAAGGAAATACAAAAAGGGCTGGGGATGTGGCTTGTGGTTAAGTACCCCTGGATTCAATCCCCAGTACCAAAAAAAAAAAAAAAAAAAAAAAGAAAAGAAAGAAAGAAAGAAAAGAAAGAAAGAAAAAGAAAATAAAAAATACATATATGGGAAATTTCAGAAATAAACAATTCATACATTTTAAGTAACAGAGTACTGTTAAATTATGTTTAAACATTGTTATTGTTAACCTCTTGCTGTGCCTAATTTATTTTTTAAATGTGCATGTATATAATTTTTATTTAATATATATTTAAGTTAATTTATTTATTATAAGGAAATGGTCCTGCACTTAGGGAGGGTGACAAGATACAGGATCAGAACTTGGCAGGCTGAAAACCCAGGAAAGCCAGTGGTGCAGTCCAAAAGAAGCTGTGCCTAATTTATAAATTAAACTTTGTCATAGGTGCGTATGTATAGAAAAAAACATTGCGTATGTTTGGTACTGTCTGGTTTCAGGCATCTACTGGGGGGTCTTAGGATGTATCCCTGTGGATGACCTGAACTACTGTATTAGGAACTCACCTGTTGTTTACCGCATACAATGTTGGGGAAAAGTGGGTTCATGAGGTTATTGCTGTTGGTTATTTTGCAGATGAAGACAGGTTCTGAAGGCGACTGGCAAACTTACCCACTCATTCTCTAAATTCAGGAGTGGGGCAGTTGAAAGGCATTGGTGATGTCAGAGAGATTTCTAGAACTCTCTCTGATCCATTGCCTTTTTCTTGCCCTTGCAACACTGTCTGTCCCTCATCCCCCAGTCCTCAGGGACTTTTTACTTCTTTGTCTGCCCAGAATCTTTTCTCTTAAAAAGTGAATGACTGTCAGTGCTCATTGGTTATACTATTTTCAGGGGTGTTTGTGTTTGAATCAAATATGAAGAAACTTCATCAAAAGGAATTGATTTCTAGCTTTAGACTCTTAGGCATGGGCAAAACAGAGGTGTGTAATATGGGAAGAACCATATTGATGATGGGGGTGGGAGGGTGGGGGGAATGATTTGGGGTGATGCTACCTCATGTTCCTGAAATTTTCTAGCCAAAAGATTGGCCTTGTGAGCCAGCTGATAAAAGAGCCCAACTGTTTGCAGGTCATGAGACATGTGGATAGAATATTCATGGAAAGGCCCTGGTGAGTTTGCAAACACTAGTCAGCCAGCAAGCTTCTGACTGATTCACCTTTTCAATCTGCATGCCTCAGGCTAGTTCCATGCTCTTTCTGCAGCATAAGGCCTCCCTCTAGCTCTGTCCCTCAGAACCCTTTCTCATCACTTTCTCTTTCACCTTCCTCCTCTTATACCACACTGCAGTGCATGTCTGGTACCCTCCATATATAAGGTCCAAGGAAAGGATAACTGAAGGAAAGGAAAGAAGGCATGCTCAGAGCTGGGTTGTCAAATCCTAGTCACTCCAGATGTCAGTAGAAATCATCTTGTTCTGAGTGGCCTTACACTGGAAGCAATGGAGACATTCTAGGTTGTGGCAACTGGGAGAGGGTGCTACTGGCATTTAATGAGTAGAAGCCAGGACTGCTGCTCAGCATTCTGCAATGCCCCCACAGCAGAGCAGAACCCAGCCCAGGATGTCAATAGTGTAGGGTGGAGGAGCTGGTCTAAATGAAGATTGGAAGAGAGACCCCTGCTTAGATTTAAATGATTGCTAGCACCTGAGCAGTGTCTGGGGGCGGGGGTCATTCCTTATTCTCAGATCCACTAACTCTAGGGAGTCCCAGAAATATTTCTAATTGTCTCTCTTCTCCAGCCCTTCAGAGATAGATTCAGGTCTAAGCCTACATGTGACTGGATATTTTTCAGCATTTAGTGAATAATTCAGCACCAACTATGCTCTAAAAAGTAACAATTACAATGCAACAACTAAAATATTAGTGTTTATTGAAACTTGGCAGATATTGTGCTTAGAATTTTATGTGAATTCTATCTCTTAATATTGCAAAGTTATTAGCATAATCCCAACCTACAGGTGCAGAAATTGAGGTTTAGGAAGGACCTTTGGTTTAGGTAGGACCCTTGGTTTACCGCAGATCACCTAGCTAGTAAGTAAATGGTAGAAATGTATTGCAAACCCAGGCATGTGGATTCTGGGTCCCAAATTCCTAGCCAACTAAACTTCCCAGGGAAAAGAAGGACTTTATTCCTGAAATAAACTAAGGGGTCTAAATGTAGATATGGTACTTAACAGGAAATTTCATCCTGATAACCCAGTTTGATTCTAATCTCACAATTTACCTTGCAGGCTCCAAACTCCAGCTCAGAACAATGTGGCTTAAAGGCTGAGTTTTTTCACCCCAAATGAGGAGCTCCAGTTGACAAGTATCTCCAGTCTGCAGTCGCACCCTACACTGGCCCCAACCCAGGCATCGAGCCTTTTGGCTTTGGCCAGTACCGAGGCCTTCGGACTGATTCTCCACGAAACCCGAATTATTTGTGCGTTCAGGTCACAAGCATCTGTGTGAGGAGTGTTTGAGTGGAATCATGTAGCCACTGATCATTGCCCTCCAGGAGGCTAGGAGATGCCAAGAACCTTAACTCGCGGGGACTGCTGCACACTTAAAAGCTCTGCTCTCCCAACAGGGCTTGCGAACAACTCGCTCTCGAAAACCACAAGGAGGCTACGTTTTTCTCCCGTTGCTGTTGCTCGCTAGGGCAGTGCACTGGAAATTGCAGAGCCTGTGTTCCAGGAGCAAGCCGGGAAAATGAAGCTCCAGGTGGAGGAAGCCAAGAGGAAGAAATTTACACTTCCTGGGAAAAGTGAACCCGTGCGGAACTGGCGCGCCGCTGTCCATCTTTTTCTTCTGCGAGAAGCTGGAAATAGAAGAGACTCCTTTGCAGGGGGACAAACGGAAGGATGCGGGTTGTAGGTGGCAATTAGGTGTGTGTGTAGGGGGTGAGGGCGGTGTTCAGTCTCTTTACATCCCTCCTAACTGGGTTTCCAACCTTTCCTTCCCAACTCGGTTTCCTAGCAGGTCTGGTGGAGCGCGGTTGAGAGCCTATACTAGGTGCAGAAAGCCACTCCCTTCAGTGACCACCAGACCTACCTGACTATAAGGGAGACTTTTGGAGCAATCATGAATGAATATATTCCCTTATAGGTCATGCTGCCGTCAGCCCCCAAATCTCAGTAGACTAGTGGGTTTCACTAGAATTGAAGGACGAATAACTACACACACACACCGAAACTTAGGGCAGCGCGCCAGCAGCGCACAGCTCAGAAAGCATCAGAATCATATCATAACAAATCATAGGATTCTAATCACAATATACCGTAAAGTCTTTGGTCTTCGTTTGCATTGGCATATTGTCCCCTCCTGGGAGGGTGGAAAACTAGCCTGGGGCGAGAATGAAGTTCAGTCTGCTGGAGGTGGGAGAGGGCAGAGAGGCAGGCTGGCTGTTCTCTTTGGTCTGGGGATCTGGGGCGTAACCCAGGAAACTTTCTCCAGAAATAACCAAAAATGGGTTCACAAACGCACCCACTTTCTATGGGAACTAGAGAGACTTTGCAGTCATCTTGATTTCAAGGGAAAAGCAAAAGGTTTCAGAAGTGAGTCCCACAAATGTTGAGCCATCTCAACTGGGGCGTCTTCCCAGCAGAAAGAGACGCGTTTGTTTGCTTTGTCTAGATATAAGGAGTCCGGAGCTCCTCAGCGTACGGTAAGAAAGAGGAGGATTTCTGCTGGGGGTGGGGTGTGGGGAAAAGACCCAGGTCGCAGACCAGTCTTCAGAAAGTGAGAACCTGGATCCGCTGTTTGATTCTCTAAGCTGCAGAAATACCTGCCCTTCCGTGGTTATGCGCTCTGGGGCTTAATCCTTGTACCTCCTTCTCCAGTCCATTCTAGCGCGCAAGAAGCCCCGCAAATGTCCCGAAGGAGGATGGGGAGTGGACTCCCAGTCGTAGGGGGCTGTGGGAGACGGGGTGAGAACAAGGGTCCCAGAGACACAAGGCTCTGTCTCTGCATAGTCCCTCGAGGGGACTCCCCAGGGTCAGAGTTCTCGCCTGCAATGGTCCGGAACAGGGACCCAGCTAACAGAATTTGCCTCAAAACAAAGCAAGGGGGCCTTTCTGAGAGGGAGCGGCACCATACTGGAGACTAGGAATTTGTCTTTTATACTTATCAATCCTCGAGAGCAGCAAAGAACAAATTTCTCGCGATCGCGGGAGGGGGAAAGGATAGGGCTGGAGATGTGGCTGGATCCCGGACCAGAGGCACTGCAGGGGTCGGGATCCCAAGGTGCAGCCTAAGGAGAGTTCCCTCCTTTGGTTCCAGCTCTGTTCTGTGCGCCCGGGCGCGTGCGGGCAGGCCATAAGGGGACACTCGAAAGCTCACCGGCTGGAACGAAAGGCAGGATCTCTGAGGGGCTGTGGGTGCTGGCGGAGTTGGAAAGTGAGAAGCCGGGCTCAGAGCACCCTCCCACACACGCCACCGCAACCCCCGCAGGGAGGCCCAGACCACATCAGCGTCTGTCTAGTCCAGAGCAGAGGTCTTGAGGCTCACAGGCGCCGGCATTTCTAAGAAAAAAAAAGTTTATTTAAAATTTTGTACATAAATAAATAAATAAATATCTTCTGGTATTACAGAAACCGTACAATTACACAGCTAGGCCAGGGCGGGGCCGAGACCTGGGTGGAGGGGAAGGGAGGGGTCACCCGAGGCGGAGAGCCGGGGTCTAGGGTTTGGGGGAATGCAGTGCACGTCGGAAACAAAGTGAATCGTTTTCCTCCATAGGTGCCACAAGAGATAACTCTCCGTGGAGAGGAGTTTCGGGGACTCCGTACCTCAAGGCCTCATCAAGGGACAAATAAACTCACTGTTGGAGAAGGCTCCCTGAGGAGGGGAAGGGAAAGGGCAAAGAAAACAAAAGTTCATAAATTGTGTGTGTGTGTGTGTGTGTGTGTGTGTGTTGTGGAGGGGCATGGATAACAACTGCAGGAAAGAATTGGGAGAGAGAGATTTTTTAAACGGGAAGCAAAAGGGCATCCGAGGAATGAAAGGCTGAACTTGACAGAGGGTGGAGAAGAGTGGAGGAAGCGAGGAAGCCTGAGCCAGCCCATAGGGCAGGCAAGGAGGCGCCTACCACCAGCAAGGCGCTGGACAGGGCGGTATGGCGCGGGGGCCGTGGTGCTGCACTGCTGACGCTGTAGGATCAGTCTGGAGTTCGCTTTGGACGCCCTTGGGGACCGGGATACCATCCTCGAGTCTCTGCTAAGTTCTCAGCTCTGCCCAGAGCTAGGGGTCTTGGCAAAGCCATGCCAAATCCGTGAGAGACAGTCGATTGGCAGCGGGTTCCTGGGAACCAGCGTTGCGTCCCAAGACTAGTCTTTCAGGCGCCGGGAGGTCTTGGGGTGGGCGGCCTAGAGGGACGAACGCCTACGGAGTGACCGTAAGATCCCGGTCGTCCTTCCCGGAGGAGGATGGAGACATGGGCAATTCGTCGTCATCCTCTGAGCACTTGGCTGAGGACAGCGACGCGCACTTGCAGCCTTGCGGTGCGCCCCCGCCGGCACCCGCAGCCGCACCGCCGGCGCTGCCGCGGTGGTTGCTGCCCTTGCCCTCCTTCTTGTGCTTCACCCGGCGGTTCTGAAACCAGATCTTCACCTGCTTCTCGGACAGATTCAGGTAGGTTGCGATCTCGATGCGGCGAAGGCGGGACAGGTACATATTGGAGGCGAATTCGCGCTCCAGCTCCAGCAGCTGCGTACTGGTGAACGCGGTCCGCATCCTCTTGCTGCTGGGCAGCTGGTTCGAGCTGCTGTCTAGAAGAGGTGGCGATGAGAGAGGGAAGTGGTCAGACCCCTGCATTGTGTGCCCAACTCCGTGCTAGGTGATGGCTAGACTCCCGACCTTGGACTTTCACACACCCCTTCTCCCCAACTGTATCCGCAGCAGTGTGACCGCGCCTCCTTGCCAACCTGCAGGATCCTGATTCTCCAGGAGTCACTTGGCCCTGGTAGCCCTTTATGGGGCGCCCTGGACCTCAGCCCTCACATACCCCTTGACGTCTCCTCCAGGACCAGGATCTTTCACCTCCGGCCCCGGTCTTCCCATCAGCCCACCACCCTGAGCGCCCCCCTCAGGTCCCTGACAGGACACTCACCACCCCAGGATGCCCCAGGGTCCCTCTTTCCCATCCCTGGCTCTCCAGCCTGCCTTGGATAACTTCTGCTCTGTCCCCCTGACCAGCGGCCCCTCTTACCCACGGAGATGCAGTGGAACTGCCGAGGATCCGGCAGCGGGTAGGAAGTCTGGTAGAGCGCGGCCGCTGCTGCAGCGGCGGCCGGACTGTGAGCGACCCCGGGCGACACGGCCGAGTGCTGGCGGCCAAGGGGCGCGTGGCAGTACTGAGAGCCGAAGGGCGGGAAGGATGCTTTGAGCAGTGGCAGCGCGGGCGGCCCGGGGGGCCCGTGCAGCTGTGAGGCGGTGACGCAGAGCGGGCATACGCACAGAAGCCCGGCTTTGCGCGCGTGGCAAGCGCCGGGAGAGAGACCGTGCAGCGCGTGCGGCGGGGGAACCGCGTAGGGAAAGAGCGGCGGCGGACTGCCCTCGGGCGCCTTCTTCTCGCCTGCTTCGCGCAGCACCAGAGAGTCCACCAGGAAGGAGCGCGGCATGGCCTCGGCGCGCGTCTGCCCCGCCACCAGCCCTCCCCTTGCGCTCGCCGGACCTCCGGGCTCTCCACGAGCTTCCTCCGGCCGCGGCCGCTTGCAGCTGCCTCCTCTGGGGAGGCTGAAGGCGCAGCCCAGGCCCAGGCTGAAACCGCCGCCTCCGCTGCCGCGGGCGCCGCCCAAAGAGCGCGGGGTGCTGGCCAGCGCTAGTGGTGCTGAAAGGCGCCGGCAGCGCCGCTTAAATAGGACTATTGCCATGTGATGGGCTACGCCAGGAGCGGCCGGGGCCTCTCAATAGGGTTTTTGTGCCTTTTCTCTTGGCATTCACTCTGCACGCTTCCTCATTATTTCACTTGTTAACTAAATGAACTGCATAATGTACTCTATTCTTGTCAACCCCACCCACGCCGTAACAGGCGCCCTCGCCCCCTCCTCTTCCTTTTGCGGGTTTATTTTCTCATTCTCCCGCGATTTAATATTCTTTTCTTTCTCTTTATTCCTTACTCCCCTTTGGCTCTGCATTGGCGATTGGTCCATTTGTCTTATTGATTTTGCACCCCCGCTGCCTCGCTTCCCCAGATCCCCTTGGGTGCACACCCGCAGGTCCTCGGCCCCCTCGATCCTAGTCCCCTTCTTTCTGTTATCTCTTCCTGCCCCAGCTCCCGCCAGCGTGATGCTTCCACTCAGTTCTCCTAGCTCAACTCTATGCATCCTGCGAGCGTCCTTGCAGCTGCCTTCCGATTTCCACCTGTGGAATCCCCTCTTTTCTCCCTGTGCCGGAAGCAGGACAGGGTTCCTGCGTGGGGGAAGCACTTATAGGGAGGGAGAGGAACGGCTCGCAATTCCTCATCCAGGGCTAGCTCCATCACTGTCCCTCTGTTTCCTCTGAGTTTCTCAAATGGTCCTAACTTTGGTGCTGCCTACAACGCCCAGTCTTTGTTCCGTAGATCCTGGCCAACCAGCCCTTTCTTTCAAACAACAGGGCTATGGATGTAAACTAAAATAAAATAGGAGAAAGAAGGGGGGGGCACTCGCTGAGAGTCACGGACTGAGATGGGAAGTGGAAGCCTAGGTCACGCACAGCGCGATCCCACACCCCCATCAAATGTGACAAGTATGGGCAGCCTCTGCCTGAGCGGATCTTGTGGACGCCCTCTCCATTCTTTCACACTTCAGTAGACCCCCTTGTGCCCTCGAAAACCATTGCCTTCCCACAGTTCGGAGCGGAGCAAAAGGCAGTTGCTCTTCCAGCTTGGACTGCCTTCGGGCACTCTGACTGAGCTCGCCACTCCCGAGTCCCAGCTCCTTCCTCCTGCCGTCGCTCTCTTCTTTCTGGTCACACAATGGTTAAACAACTTCAAAAGCCCGGCGGTGTGTACACAGCTTCAGCTTTTAAAATCGTCCTCCGGCTCAAAGCTGTTTCTTTCAGGAGCTTTTATCATACAATGGGAAATTAGCATACATATTTCGAATTTACTTCCTTTGGGCCTTTTCACCAGAAACGTTTACTTTCGATTTTATTAGGACCAAATCGCTGCAGTCACCTGCTCTGAACCTTGAATGGCATTGTGAGAAGCTTTCTGGAGGGGGTAAGATCAGTGCTGCACGGGACTAAGACTGCCCAGACCCAAAGCGCCTGCGTGGGTTTTTTAAATCGTCGGTGCCATCTTTACTATTACAACAGCAACAAATTATAACTGATTAAAAAAGCAAACTGAATTTGTTATGGAAGGAGAGGGGGAAAAACCCACCTGCTTCAATAAAGGGAGAGGGGCAATGGTAAACATAACCTGCATGAAGGGCATGTCATCTATCAGGAGTAGGGAGGGGTTCAATGTTTCCTTGCTTGCTTGGCATGGGTGCCCCCCCTCCCCATGCCATGGTCTCGGTCCCAAGGTTCCTGCAAACCAGCCGGAACGCATCAATGCAGACTAATTCCCGTTCTAATTGCTCTCTGGGAAATTTGGGCCGAGCTGCGCCTCTGAGAGCGAGGCAAGAGCGGGGACCAGGCTCGGAGCCGGGCTCCCCGCTGGGTTGAGGCGGCTTTGAGAGGAGCGGGTGGCAGACCCGGCCTGGGAGTAAATGGGGCAGTCGCTGAGCTCCAGAGCTGGGAGCCCGCGAGGGGACAGTGCGGAGCTCTCCTGGGAGTCACCCCGTGCTCCCGGGGATGAAGGGGTTAAGAGCCCCTGAATACGAGCAAGGCCAAAGCTACTGGGAAAGAATATGGGGGGGGGAATAACCAGTTTTCCCCCCTCTCCCTCCAGCCTCTGGACCTTATTGAATGTCATTGAAGAAAGTTTTGAATGCCAGATAAAGAGAGGCGAATTAAAGTGTGTGACAGCGGAGGATAAGCAAACACAAAGAGAACTCTGTCACACTTTGGGGCAAAATCCGTGGGCTTTTTACCAAGTCTCTTCGCTATGATTGAATTAAGTAATAGGAAAACATTTTCTTTCAGTTTAGAGCCATTAGACAAAAACTTCAAAGCGAATAACACTTTTTAATGTGCTGCCCCACAATAGATGGGGTTTTGTGCTGAAATGTTTAAATGGTTTGTTGTGCAACTCGGCGCGGGAGAGAACCGGGCCCAAGCAAAATAGCATCCTTGAGAGTGTTTTCGGCGCCTTGGAACCAAGGCGCACTTAATCCGCCACCTCTAAACCCGGTGGGCTACAGCCGGAAAGGGGGCTCCTTGTTCACCGCCCGGGACAGCCGACCGCGCCCAGGAATGCGCCTGTTTCAGGGAAGTTCTGCACTTGTCCAGGACTGAAGTCCATCTCCGGCTGCAGGCCCAGAGCCCGGGCAGGTGCTGAGATGCACCGGCGGCAGGGAGCTGGGAGCCGTCCTGCGCCCCAACCCTATGGCCTCTGCCCGCCGCCTGGTTTCCGGGGGTCACCGCCTGCGTTCTCTCCCGCAGACGCGCTGCTTTTCTGTTGAAAGCGCCTCCCAGGGCTCCCTTTAGCCGGGTTTGAACTTTACTCACCCCAGCAAACGCCCCCTAGGGCGGGGCGGGGTGGGAGGAGGCGGCGGGATTAGCCTGACAGCCCCAGAGAGGGGCCCCGGGAGCCTTAGGGCTCGGCCGCCAAAGCTGGTTTTCAAGTGTCCATCAGGGACAGTTCAACATGGAATAATTTCTGTTGTCCCGGGCTTTTCTTCTGCTACACTGTGTCCTTCCTTTTCCTGCTGGTAGAGCGAATGCACCACTTTCCTACTGCCATTGTGGATCTAAGAGATTTGAAACACTGTACAAATGGCACGGTGATGATGCTGTTTCCTTTATATCTTTCTTCAAATGCCATTTTCCTCCTCAGGGAGGCCAACGACCTTATTTAAAATATCATCCTTCTTTCTCCATATTCTGCCTGGTTCCTTGTTTTGTAAGCACCTTCAATGTCTATGTCTTTGGTTTATTTGTTTTTTCTCCACCCGTGAAATACATACTCTGTGAGAGCCAGGTGTGTGTGTGTGTGTGTGTGTGTGTGTATGTGTGTGTGCGTGTGTGTGTGTTGTGCATTCCTATATCTCAGAAAAATTCCTGGCACATAGTAGGTGCTCAGTATATGTTGACTGAATGAATAAGTCAGTGACAGAGACCTAACTCAGGAGGTGGAATAGCCAGGAGGACTTCATGGTGTGCCTTCTTAATGAACCAAGGCACTTAGTAGCTGACATGGGGTAACTGATGGAGTGAGACTCTGGAGGTCAAGGGCTGTCTTAATCTCTCCCAGTTCCTCTACACCCCCAGGGCCTGGAACATCACAGGAGTTCAATGTGATGGCAAGCAGTAAGCCAGTCTGTGGGTCCCAGCCCTCCAAATGTAGGTTCTCCTAGAGACAAGATGGTCCTACTTACTGAAGGCAGTTTCAGTATCCTGCTCTGCAGAAGTTGGATGAACCCACTGGTAGCTCAAGGTTAGGGGTTGTCATTGAGGTCTTTTGTGGTGTATAAGGGATTGATTGGAAAAAAAGAAGAGATTGGCTATATGCCCTGAAATTATCAGTAACCATTTCTACTTGTTCTGGCTGAAGGCAATGGAGTAGGAATTCTTGATGTCAAGAAAGTAACTGCTCCCCTGACTGCCAGGGATTCAGATAACTTTCCCAGGAGAGAGAAAGCAAGCTGTTTAAATAAGCACAGGAGCAAAATGTCTGGTGTGCCAGGGAATGCTGAATGGTTCTGGGAGCCAAAAGTGGAAGGTGTCCAAGGAAGGGGCAGAGGAGTAGCGGCTACACAAGTGTGCACAGGAGGTGGCAGTTAAGTCATGAAGGACCATGCAAACAGATTTGGGTTAGAGCCAACATTTGTAAGCAAGAGGGATTATGGAGTCATATCTGAATTTGAGAAGTATCACTGGAGGTCCTATTGGAGTGAGAGGCCAGAGAACAGTCCCACAGAGTTGGCCTGTGGATTAATATTTATTAAATTATTAAATGAACAAAGATAAGGGAAGAAGCAAGAGAAGATTATATAAGTTCAAGTGAATGGATGATGGCCACCTGAACTGGAATGGGGACAGCAGGACCAAAAAAACCTAAATATTGAGAGAGTTCAAAGGGGCCAACTGGGGATATGTATGCCATGCGTGCACATGCACATGCATGTATTTAGGTGTGCATGCTTTAGAGGGCAAAGGCATGAAAGAGAGAGAAACTTAATATATCCGGTAGCTTGTTGGCAGAGATAGGTAAGTGGTGACATTAAAGGCAGAGACAAGGAACTTAAGGGTAGGACCTACTTTTGTTTTGGGGGATGTGCAACATTGTCTGATTCAAATGTGTTGCATTTTAATCTTTAACCTCAGACAAAATGTGTCTAGAGTTGAATAGAGAGATTAGAGATAGAGATTTATAACTTATATATACAAAAATGATAGCTTTAGTCTTAGGATGGATGAGGTAGGAAGGGACTATAGAGAAAACACAGGATTGTAGATGCAACTCTGGGTAACACCCACATTTAGGGAAGCAAGTGGAGGGAGGATTCCCTGCAAAATAGATAAATAAGACAATGATAGGTAAAAGGAGAAGTGAATGACAGGAGAAAATGGAAAAAGGAAGAGTTCTACAGCGGCAGTTCACTCATACAGGGCTGCCAGGTTTAGCAAATAAAATAAAATATACCTGGGGGATGGGTGTAGCTTAGTGGTAGCATTCTTGTCTACTGTGTGAGGTCCTAGGTTCAATCCCCAGCACCACAAAAAACAAAACAACACCATTGCACGAACAAGGCCCTGGGTTTAATCCCCAGCACACACATACACACACACAAACCACATGTACACAAAAAAAAAAAACCAACAAAAATATAGGATACGTAGTTAAATTTAATTTTAAATAAATG